AATTGGCCTATTGCTCTTTGGTCCAGGAAAAGAGGTACTCTCTCTACCACTCTTTCCGATCTCGGTCCGACCTGTACATTAGTTATCATTCTTTTTCTCCATCCTTGAAATTTTGAAGCAAAGCAATGCCTGTTCTTGTCAGAAGCTTGACCGAAAGCACGCTTTCAACGTATTTGCAACTATACCTGAGCTGTTGAAAGAGCTTCCACAGGGCGGAATTGCGGAGATTGTCGCTTCAGTAGTCTCTGGTAATAAAGGAGTTCTCATCATCACAGTTGACACGATCGAAGCAGGTGATGGTGATGGATGAAAATTGTTGGAAGCTATAGAAACGACTCCTGCAGGTACATGAAAACACAACGATAATCAATATCGACATCATGCACAATATTTCATGACGATCTCGCCTCGTACTTACAGGAACCTGTGATACTTTTAATTTGACTGACAGACGGACGGACAGACAGACAGACGGCAGAGGCAGAGTGACTAACAGACAGACTGACTGACCGACTAGCTGACTGATTATTGACCGACTGACCGACAGACCGACTGACCCACTGACCCCTGACCCTACGGACTCAATGACTAACTGACCCACTGACCCATAGACGCCCTAACCCACTGACCCATTGACCCACTGACCCACTGACGCCCTAACCCACTGACTCACTGACTCAATGACCCACTGATCCACTGACTCAATGACCCACTGACCCACTGACCCACTGACCCACTGACCCACTGATCATGCACTGACCCAGTGACCCAATGACCCAATGACCCAATGAAGGACTAACCCACCGACCCACTGACCCAATGCGTGACCGACCGACTGACCAGCATGAATTCCTACGATCCTAGCATCCAATTAAAGTAGTGTTCAACGATATTCAGGCACTGTTCTTGAACGATATGAACTACTCTGTGTATCTGTTCGTTTTTACGAAATACATGAAACTCGTCTTGTCCTCAGAAAACAATCCTAGCCAAACACAGCGCACAAGGAAATTCTACGTGTATCTTCTTGTGTAATGAAAGCGGACACTTCCTCAACCGATAGTTGACATTGAACATTGCGGACATTTGTGAGCAACAGAAAAAGAGCATTTGCTAATTTACCTTTCACATATAAGGTGGCTGTTGCACTCAAAATGGTTTCACCATTTTCTCCTTCAACGCAGCACGTATAATTTCCAGTGTCGTTGACTTTAAGATCAGTAATTTGCAACTTTGTCGATGATTTTGATAGCTGGTATTTATGTCTATTGATCTCAGGAGCTATGGAGCCATTTTCACATATCGTACGACCAACAGAGGCACTTTGAAATGACCAAGTTATTTTTAATGGGAGTTTTCTTTCCGTATCTTGGCAGGTAAACGTTGCATTTGATCCTTCTGAAGCGATTGAAGTGTCATAAGCGAACACAAAGCGTCCTAGAGTAGGTAAAAAAGTGAACAACAGAAACTTTAATTAAAAAAGGGTTTCGACGAAAAAAGTATATAATATTGGTTT